CAGAGAGAGACAGAGCATGAACGGGGGAGGGGCAGAGAGAGAGGGAGGCACAGAATCGGAAACAGGCTCCAGGCTCTGAGCCATCAGCTCAGGGCCTGACGCGGGGCTCGAACTCCCGGACCGCGAGATCGTGACCTGGCTGAAGTCGGACGCTTAACCGACTGCACCACCCAGGCGCCCCCTTCTTTCCATTTTTAATACCTATCACCTCTTCGTCACGCGTTCTCAATCTAAAACGTCACAGATTTGCTCCAAGCCTCCGTTACGTTGAATGTTGCGATGTATTTCCGAGGATTTAGAAGGTCTGAGTCTATGGTTTGTACAAACTTAGTACCTCTGTTGATCCCTCATGCAGCACAGCCCTCAGAACAGGACTTTAACCTCTTCCTCCCCGCAAGGGGCCGCTGATTCCAGCACGTTAACAAACAACAGAACAGAGCCTTTGTTTGTAATTTGGAGCTTTTGTGGATAAAAATATCAGGGGCGCCTGGGTGGCTCAGTCAGTTGAGTGTCCAACTCTCGGTTTTGGCTCAAGTCATGACCTCACAGTTTGTGAGTTCAAGTCTCATGCTGTCAACACAGAGCCCGCTTGGGATTCTCTCCCTTCGCCACCCCCCCCCCCCGCCTCTCCTCTGATTGTGCGCCCTCTCTCTTTCTCTCTCTCAAATAAATAAACTTACAAAAACTAAACAAAACGACAACAAAATCGATCTATCACATGCACGGTCTGCCTCCAGCTATCTTCTGATTATGGGTATTCCCAAGCTTAGACCTGTGTCTGAAGCACTGATTCTCAAGACTAACGCTGGGAAGGAAACTCGTTTCCTACTGTGGGCTTTTAGCGAGGGCCAGCAGGACCCCCGAGGACGACGATATGGTTTTAGTGGGTTACTTGTCTGCGGTGTGGTGATAGGGAGTGAGCAGGACTCAGGCATCCGTGGCGGTGACAGGAACACCTTGCCCTCCGGAATTGGTCCGCGTGTGTGATAATCTAACATGCACGTGCCCCAGCCTGACAATTACCGCTCCCCGTAGCCACCAAATATGTTTTAGTCACATGTGTGCGCAGATGCACGTATGACTGTTCGGTGCAGAATTGTGTATAACCAAAACCA